CCCGAAGAAAGATACAAAACTGCATTCTGTCTACCAAATCGCCACCTTCAATGGAACGTCTTACCTTTCGGCCTTAAAACAGCATCATCCCTATTCCAGCAAGCAATGCTACGAATATTCAAACCTCTTCTTCATACGTCTTTGATATACATCGACGACATCCTTCTCTTCTCAGCCGATGAAAATGAACATATTCAGCTGCTTCAACAGTTTCAAAGCATAATCAGAGAGTACGGAATTATGCTCTGAGCCAGAAAGATGGTCATAGTCCAGCCCAACATTAACTTCCTTGGCATGCAAATTACAAACGGTAATTTTACACCGCAAGATCATCTTGCTACAACACTTCTAGATTTTCCTGATGAAAATCTTAAAGCGACAAGTTCAGCAATTTTTTGGCGTAATCAATTACGTTAGCGACTTTATCCCGCAACTTTCGTAGCTGACAAGACCGCTACAAAAGATGCTGACAAAGAATCCACCCCAATGGACAAAACGACAGACTGAAGCTGTCAAAAGTCTAAAGCTAGAGGTGCAAAAGCTAACACCTTTAAAGATTCCTTCAACAGGAACACGCATTTTGTAGACTGACGCAAGTGACAAATATTGGGGAGCCATTTTATTTGAAGAAATAAATAGAAAACGTCAAATCTGTGGACACAAAAGCGGACGCTTCAAAGATTCCCAAATCCATTATCACTCCACGTTCAAAGAAATCCTAAAGTCAAAAGGGCTATTGAGAAGTTCGAGTTCCATCTAATAGGACATAAATTTCGCATCGAAATGGATATGTCATCCTTCCCGAAGATGTTACAATTCAAGCAAAAGATGGTCCCACATCAGCAGTTGTTGCGATGGAGTGAATGGTTCTCAAAGTATGATTTCGAGTCCTTCTATGAAAAGGGCACGAAGAATACTCTTGCTGACATGCTCAGTCGAAACCCAGTAAAAGAAATACAAATGATGGCAAGCTCTTTTGCAAAACGTTACTACGACTTCACCTCCAACATGCCAGAAGACGCTCATCAGCTTATCAATAGGAAAGCTCTACACGAGCATCTTAATGGTAAGATCTTCTACTACCAATCCATCATCCTGTCAAAATACGGAACCAACAGTCATCATATCTCACCATTAAGGATTCACCCAGACTATCCGTTCGCACATCTTTACAGATTCGAAAACGCCAACATGCTAGAAGAAGTCCTCTATTTTCTCTGGTACTTCTGCTCGGTTTACACCATAGGTATTGCTTTTGATATACTATGGCTATATCATTACATCAACGCTTAACAAGGTCACAATGAATGTTTTTCAACATTCTTAACATGGTTTGCACCCCTATCCGTCTGGAGTGAAAAGTTGCGAAGATCAGCAAAAGCAATAAGCCTACCATTCAATAAGCTAAAAGGTCAAGGAGGTCTTAATCCTTTTTTTAAGCCTCACACGATCTACTTTTTCCATCGGTCCGTTCAAGTCAACACCAAGTCCGGGAAAATCCATGCGCTACCGACTCTCATACATCACAACGACTATCATCGAAAGTTCGTCTTGATTTCAATGTCAATGACAACAAAGCATACGAAGATTTTCAGACTCATGCGTTTCGCCTCAAACTTAGAGAAAGTATGCAAACCTGACATTGAGTTTGAAACTGCGACATGTATTCGTACCATGAGTCACACTCAATGGCGAACCACTCTATACCGCAAAATTAACTCTTCTTTTCATGAATAATCTTAATTTATTTAGATTCTTCAATCAAATAAAAGTGTGATTTTTGGTTTTTGGCAATGTAGGAGATTGGTGATTTTGTGGCGAAAATATGTAAAGCGTTACAAAGGAAAGACTGCTCCACCAAAACTCTGCAATTCCGCTGCCTTGTCTAAGAAGAAAGTGTCGAAATTTCATGTCTTTAATGCCAATGAAGCTATCAATTACTTATCAAAATACTTTGTTGCAAAAAGATGGATTTAAAAGTGGAATTAGAAATAAAAGACCATTTTCTAAACTTTTTCTATTTACTTGTTGATGCATGCACCTTTTGGATTTTTTTAAATAAAAAACGCTATAATTGAACTACACTTCAGATTACGCAAACATTTAAAACGCTTTGTTGACGTATATCTGAAGCATCAAGAAACACTCAACACTACTTACATTATCCTATCAT